TCATAATCAACATTTTTCAAGAATTACATAAACATATATAAACTTGAAACTTCGATTATAGCATTGAAATTGGTTTAACACAATCATTACCACATTAAAAAAAAGGTTTTATAAGTCCAAAACAGTCAAAGGTAATGATTCTAGACCAATTCCAGCACCAAAACTTGAAGATATGTTGTTTGGGGGTCCAACTCGTCGAGTGCACGAACCAACTCGGCGAGTTGGATGCATTTTGTCTTGGACTCGTCGAGTCCATCAGGTGAACTCGGCGAGTCCACTGTCCCAGCAGCAAAAAAACTTCGATTTTAAGCAGTTTTCATCAAGTATAAGTGAAAACAAGCATAGGCTCTGATACCACTGTTGGGTTTTGAGCATTCTAACACTCCTATGGTGTACATGCAACCCTAAATACCTTGGATCTATGTTTTCTCTATTATACATGCAAATATCAATTTTCCAAGGTATTGTTCTAACTAGCATAATATAAAGTACACATAATATAAATTTTAGTAGAATTACATACCTCTTGTTTGGTGCTTGATTCCATGGAGCTTAAGAGCCTAGTGCCCCAAGTGTGACACCTCAAATGGTTCACACAACATCATGAACACTTGGAATAACTTGAGAGAAAGTAGAACACTTCATGAAATCGGCTTGCCCTCTTCATGCATACATGGTGGCCGATTTTTCCAAGAATAAGATTGCTTATATAGTTGTTACAATTAGGGAAAACCCTAATTGTCATGACTTTCCATTTCCTTGGATCCATGGGTTCAAATACACCATGGAGCATCCATGGAGTATCCTATGGGTTTTAGCCCAACTTAATAATCCATGGAGTCTTAGCCCACTATACAAGTATGGATGATTTACACAATCAACCCATATATTTAATTAGTCTTCTTTTGATCACTTAATTAATTCTAAATTAATTCTTGATCAATACTAATTAAATAATCTTATTAATATATTAGAACTTATAATATATTAATAAACCTTAAGTGTTATTTCTCTCATTTTAGTCTATCCAAATGCACGCTGCCATGCAACCCAAATGGACCATGCCGGGTCGGGTCAAGTATATACCAATTATAGTTATGGACTTAGACACTAATCCAACAGATTAATCTATCCACTTCTTGAACCCTAGAACCTACAAAGAATGCACAAATCGAAAATTAATCCACTGTAAGGTTAACTTCCTCCAAAACCTAATATAAAATTAGCACCTCAACATATAAAATAGTTAAAAAAACATAACTCAATAATATATGGAAAGTGAGGAGTGACAAAACTTTACAGGGAAACACCTTGTTCCCAATTGAGTGATTGCAAAATAAGTAGCAAATTAGGTTACACGTTATGCTGAAAAATTACAGTAAGATTGATAATTGAGTTAAACAACATATACGAACATGTAAACATCACAAAAGAATAATTAAAGCGAGATGGATAATGACATAGACGACAAAAATTTACAGTAACACGAAGGACAGAAAACGATCTAGGGTGGAAGAGGGTAGAGTAGTATGGAAGAACGTCGAACAGGGGGATTAGGGCAGAGCGGTAGATCGATGTACCAGGGCAGACGATCTAGGTATACATGGTCGAGCGGCGGAGCAGGACGGACAATCTAGGTCTGATAGGATGAGCAGCGGAGGGAAGCATGTGTGCAACACGAAGAAGAATAGTTCCCACTTTTGAATCGTCGAAATCCAAAGGCGGGATTTTTTTATATAATTTTTCGTTTCCCGCTTAGTGAAATGACTAGGGAGGAGGTGATACTGAAAATGTTTTCAAAAGCTATAATGACATAAACAAAATGTCACTAAAAGTAGGCTTTAGTGGCACAAAAGCATAATGCCACTAAAACTTTGTGCCACTAAATGCAATTTTATTTATAGTGGTTGTTATAGCATATATCCTTGTTTGGTTGGTGAGAATAGTCTTGGAAAAGGTTAACCTCTGCAAGTATATGATGAAAGCTATAATGACGATAATGAATCTTTGATAGTTTATGGTTGCGGATAATTGAATTTTCTCCGTTCCATGGTGAATTTCAATGTTAATGGGTTGTACTATAAAGGATTTATAGCATCGAAGCATTGATTTTACTCGTTGATATGAGGGACACACCGGATATCTTCTATGTACATCTTCTCTTTATATAATTTCAAGATATTAGCTTGATCTGTAATATTCTTTACGAATAGGATCCAAAATGGAAAAAAGCAAGCTCTTTAGGTAATTTATGATGATAGCATGATGATTATAATAATTGTTGGTTATTGTCGATCTAATACTTTAAATGAGAAATTCGTCTATTTTTGGTAGTTTCTGTATCTTTCCTTGTCGATTTCATATGCAATATTTGATGAGCATTTTATTGATATGGTTGCTGAGAGCATAAGAAGGTATTGATGATAATGAGAGTGCTAGAATCTTGGACAATGTGATAATTGTTTCGGTATCCGGAGGTGCAAATGACCCTATTAAGTGAATAATGTTCTTTCACGCATTTCATCAAACACTTGTGATGCACTACTCATCTCCACCCTCTTTTTCTAGAGCATGTGTTAAGAAATATCCTTATTTCAACCATCCAATTTAGTAGATAAAAGAAAATGTATAGATAAAGATATGAGATTAAGGAAATGAAGTCGGATAAGAAAAGTATACGAACACCCCTGTTCTTAGTGTAGCTTAGGTATTGCTTTGGTTGGAGTTGTAGATTGCAGTTGATTTTTTTTGTGGTGAATTTTTGAAATCATAATCTGACTCAAATTAAAAATCACATACACTAATTGTTTTCTTATAGTTGCAATCTTAATTGGAGATGGAGTCGATATACAAAGGTGTGCAACTGAGATAATGAGGCAATGTGATAATGTGCATGAGACCGAGTTGATGAGTTTTGGATCGATTTTTAACATTAAACAAGCTTCTACCGATCCCCTAATTGGTGGGCTTAATTTCTATGTGGTTCTAGTGAATAGCCAGAAACTAAGAAGAAAAGGCTGGAGATCGAGTCTTCTTCGTGCCTATGTCTCGATTTGTGACCGATTAGTGGGTTAGGATGGAGAAAAATCATCGGCAATGCAAACAACACTTTACTCTTTTGTTGACCTGTTCTAAAAAGAATATGATTATGTTTTTTATGGTCACTTTGGTCCCAAGAGTTTCATAAATGTGGTTGTTTTTAGTCATGTAATTTAAATCATAGTTGGTAAAGGACCAACTACGAGAGAAATTTAAACCATAGGGGCCATTCGTGTAATTTAAAATAAATGGTTAACGGAGTAATGGTTAAAAACTAACGATAGTGGTTTAATTAACATGTACAGTAAAACTTAGATCACCTATTGCGCAAAAGAAAAACATAATTGATCAAATCGGACAAAACACATAAATTAATTGTGCTACAGTGACATTTTCCCTACTTTCATTAGGCCTACGAGTTTTAATATATATATATATATAATATATATTATATATATATATATAAATATATATATATATATATATAGAGAGAGAGAGAGAGAGAGAGAAGAGAGAGAGAGGAGAGAGAGAGAGAGAGAGAGAGAGAGAGAGAGAGACGAGAGCGAGAGCAGAGAGAGAGAGAGAGCGAGAGAGCGAGAGAGAGAGTTATTACGCATGTTTTCCGTTGATGTGCTACCACAAGTTAGTAGGAGTATGTACATGTTTTAGATCTAAACTTTACACAGTAATAAAAAATAATATACATAACTTGTATAAAAATAAACGGTTTAAAAATAAGATTAATGTTGTTTTGATCCCACCTAGGACCGACCCAAACGGTGGTCGTAAGGGTGAACGTTTAAGGCGCCGTTTCAAGCCAAGGGATCCAAAAGTTTAAGTTTAAGTTCTAGGTAATATTAATTTATAATTATTAATCTATTTTTAAGAAAATAAAATATAAATTAGAGGAACAGAAATTGAGCCAAACTCAAAGGCTAAAGTTTGATACATTACTGGAAGAAAAAAAATAGCATACGTATAATTTTCGTTTTTCATAAAGAAGATGAGTATGTGCAATCAAAATGAGGGAAATCGAAACCACAAATTATAAGTTGGAATCCTATGAAGCAATCAAGATGACTTTTTTTTTTCTATTTCTATTTTGTTGTGAGCCCAAAATATATTTTATACTGATAAATTGCTTTTAATGTAGTCTATCTTAAGTGTCCATATATATATATATATATATATATATATATATATATATATATATATATATATATATATATATATAAAAGTTTTTGCTCTAGGTAGTATAACAATCTTGAGCAATGTATTTTTTGAGTACGTATGCCAATTTGTAGTGTGATGAAATCTACTTGATGTTTGCATCTAGCCTAGCTACGGATCATGACTGATCTGGAATGGATTGTAAACTGTTATGCATCTTTCAATTTTCACAATTTTCAGTCGTCCATTCATGAAGAAGCCCTAAATTGATATATAAAGGAGAAATATATCAATTAATGTCATGTCACCAAATATTATGCGATGTCACCAATAATTATGTTATGTCTTTCTTTAACCTGGAAGAGCCGTTTACTTGGTAACATTTGAACAAAAAATATAGTTCGTTTTTTTTTTATTTTATTTTTTATTTTTATTTTTTGTAGAAAGACCTTACTTAGATGATATATTTTGAACTATCAAATTTGGATGATGCTTTTTTTAATGTTTTTGAATTATAGTTATCCTTCCGAATCATTTTTTTTATTTTTCTTTTAATTAAATTTTACGGTAAATACCCGTTGCCATAAACTTATATTTGAACAAAGTATGTAGTTTGTTAGTGTTTATTTTTTTACTTATTTAAATAGTGTTTTTTAAACATGTCAAATTTAAATAATGATTTTGAACGATTTTAAAATGAAATTACCCTCATAAACTCTTTTTTATTTATTTGACTTTTGAGTTATACGTGAGGAGAACAAACCGTTCATCATTAATACTAGAGGTGAGTGATACATAAATTTGACTATAAAGCCGTAGTTTTCCCCCAAAATTTAAATAGAATCCCTGCAATTCTAGAGAGAGAAACCGAGCGAGCTTCGGAGCTTGTACTTGCATCAATGGCGTTCTTATCTTTCGTCGGCCGTGTTCTTTTCGTCTCCGTCTTCCTTCTCTCTGCTTGGCAAGAGTAAGCTCCATTTCTTCAACTTCAGATCAGTCTCCTTTGAAAAATTCAGTGTGTTTTGTATGCCATTGCAATCTTAAGTACTGGTGTAGGTGGTTCGATTTTTCGCGTTTGTGGTTTTGAATCTAAAAGTTAGAATTATGTTCAGTTCTTTTTCTCTGGGATTTGTACGTATTAAATGTTGCTACAAGATTGTTGGTCTGTGGAACTATAATTGGGTTTATGTATGTAATACTAGGTTTTTTTTTTTTTTTTTGGAGATTAGTGATACGGTTTGAAAATTTAGGTGTTTTGTTTCCAGATAAGAAATTATGCTCTAATAATCTTACCTTTTACGAATTATTTTGTGATTATGTCGTAGGGTTTCTTGATTGATGAAATTTAACACTTCATTTCAATTTCGCGTCATGAAAAGAAATTAGGCGCTAAATACCAGTTCATCCCATGAATATAGCACTAAAGATCTTGACAAGTTTCGTATCTTGGTAGCAAATTTCCCAGTATTCTTTCGAGGAAATGTTAAAGTTTTGTGTTTTTTTTTCTTCTAATTTTTATTTAAGTGGACTTGCTGTCAAGTGATCTTTGTTGCAATTTTTAGAACAGATGTAGTATGATTTTGTGTAAGATTTTCGGATCCTGAGGTTTCTTTTGAGATTTCCATTATTATATTCAAAGAGTTAAGTATTTTTTGCTTTCAGATTTTGGTTTTTGAAGATGCAAGTTCCATTTTTTCCTTAGCCAAAGGAAAGATAAAATATAACTTTTATATGTTAATTTTTCATTGGAAAAATATTCTTCAAAATTTTGCAATGATCCATCATCCATGATACATTTTATGAACATTCACTTATGTTTCCATCACTAGTATTGTCACTTATACATTTAATTGATTCTTAAAGACAATACATGGACTCACTATCATGTGCTTTTTAGTGTATATAGGTTTAATGAATTTGGATTTGATGGTGGATCTGCAGCAAAAGTCCTTACACCAAAGTTCAAAATGCTTTCAAAGCATTTCACAACTTTTACAGGTTTCCAAGTGCCACAATTTGAGGTAATGCATTTTACATATTGTTATTTTAATTAGAGTCATGAATCATGATAGTTTACCTCCAAATATCTATAACTTAATTTAGATTGTGGATACAGATCAAGTTCTTTTTTGCTGGAGTTATAGCCATTAAAGCCCTTGGAAGCTTTCTCTTCATCTTTGATAGCACCATTGGTGCTACACTCCTGGTGAGCAACTCTTAATTAAAAGGACCATTTTGTCATTTTCTTTTTTTAATTCAAATGCGTAACTTGATTTGGTTAACATTCCTCTTTTCAGATTTTGCACCAGTTAATTGCTACTCCCATCTTATATGACTTTTACAACTATGACATTGAGAAGAAGAAATTCTTTCAACTTACTTTCAGTTTTACACAGGTTAGAGCAAAAGATGAATCTTTTTCTTTTCTTGGAAAAATAAATAAATTTCATTTTCTTCATTTTCTTTCCTTAGCCAAAGGGTATTATTATCTCATTCAATCATGGAAACAAATATTCTTTAATAAACTTCAAGTATATAAATTAAATTACATAACTTTTGAGTTTTGATTAGCATTTATAACTCTAGTTTTTTCTATTTATATAAATAAAAGTTCATTAACTATAATTAAAATAATCTATAGGTTAGAGTTAATGTTATGCATTGTATTTATATATAATATTATTAGTTCATTTGAAGAATTATTCTCTTGTACATGCCAACCAAACATTATCATGGAATGGAATGACTGATTCCATTCCCTTGTTTTTGTAGAGTTTGTCATTGTTAGGGGGATTGTTGTTCTTCATTGGAATGAAGAATTCCATTCCAAAGAGATCTTCAATTCCAAACCACGGGATTGCAACAACACAAACAGTCGAAAATGTACGAGATGAGTATATCGAACATTTGAAAGACGAATTAGGACAAGCAAGGGTAGAATCGGAAATAATGTTTGAAAAACTGAAGCTTACTCAAGCTCGACTTAATGAAACACAAGAAGAATTATCCCAATGTTATCAGGAAATCACTCGGCTGACCAGAGAGCTAAAGGGGAAATCTAATGCAGAAGGATTCAAACGATGGTTTAGCTAGTGTCCATGAAAATTACTGATTTAGCCTTATAGCATAGTAGTTATATAAATAGATATATGGGATGAAAAGAAAAGGAAATATTTCCTTATTTTTCTTAGTTTTGTAATGTCATCCCAAAGTTTTTTGGTTATAATAGTAGATATAATATTTCATGATATACATCTTCCTATTCACTCATTATATTGACCAAAACTTTCTTTGATTTTTTTTGAACGACAAAACTTTCTTTGATTGATGAGTTTATTTCCGAATGCGACGTTCAAAGTGGTCACAAACTTTGCATGAAATGTCGCAGTCAAGATATCAAATTTTTTTGGACAAAATATGTTCAAATTTATTATGAAGGAAAAGTGATTTGACTTGCCATCTTTTTGATTTTTCAACATTTCTAAATAATACTCTCATCAACTCATATTTAAGTTTCGTAAAGTTTTGAATACATTATATAAAAACTTGGATTTAAAAGATTTTTAGAAGAAATGTATATATTCATAATAATGATTCGATCATATTATATTTATGACTTGATAGTGGATGCAATAAACAAAGAATTTATCAAAAATATGAGAACCTGTCTAAACTTTATGTAATATTCAATAGATTCCTTTTGACAATGCAAGTACATAAGTATAAGGTTGTTCGGAGTGGCGTCAAAAGAGAGGGCGTGGTGCACGCGAACACCATCCCGGGTATGCATCGAAGTGGTGAGGAATAGATGGGAGTACGGTGGTTGATGCTCTCTCTCTCTCTCTCTCTCTCTATATATATATATATATATATATATATATATATATATATATATATATATATATATATATATATATATATATATGCGTTAATACCACTATGGTGGTGGCGACGACGAGCTGGAAGGTGGCCACTTCAGAGCCATGTCGGAAAATGCCCTCCCCGGTATCCTACACTTCTGCTAGCCTAATAATCGAGTCTTATGTTTTACCAAACTTGAAAGTATTTGTCGAAGAAAGAGAAAATGACTTAAAAGGGTAATATAGTTCTCATTTTGTACATGTTTAGTCATTATTTGTTTTTTCTTGTAAAATAAGTCTTTGAACTTGTTGTTTTGAACACATTCAGTGCTTATGACCGGCTACTCAATGTTATGTTCTCAGTTTTACACATTTAGTCCTTAATGTTATTTATTTATTATTTTTGCAAAAGAACTCGTTTTTGTATAAATTTAGCTATGATGACCGCTCGTCTGTACTTATATTAGTAACCTAATTTACGAACTGGTCAAATAATGTTGGTGCTGTAGTTTTCTCCAAGAAATGAGTTTTCTGTTCGGTGGTCAAATAATGTCGGTGCCCTAGTTTTCTCCCAGACAAAATAGCGTCGTGTAAAAAAGTTTAGATACTTCCCTAATTCCTTGGTATGTCGATCTTAACCATTTTTCAGCAAATGAGTTTCTTATTCTTTTTAAATTGATTTTCTGTCTTATAAAAAGTGCAAATGTCGGCAATATGTGGATGAAAAACATGTCAAATTAATCCCGAATTTTGAAGATAAAGGTGCAACTCTTAAAGAGGAGGTTTCATGTCTCAAGAAAGAAGTGAATGAGCTGAAGAAAAATTTATTTAATGATATGGTTCAAATAAGTTGTAATATTCTTTAATGAAATGAAATTTAGTTGGTATTAGTATTGGAATCATTTCGGCTAATGTATTTTCTTCATCTGATGTAATATAGTTGATATAGCTATTAAATGAAATTGGTATTGGTATTAAATATAGTTGGCATTTTACTATAACAGTTACTAATATCAAAAGTACAATGTTATTAAGGGCACATGATTCCACTGCCCAGACGAGCCTAATATGAGAACGCCTTATTAATGATTGTCCTACGTAAGATGTCACGTGAACAAAACATGAACAAATCGATCATAAGGACTGAATATGTATAAAAACAACAAAGACTTATTTTGCAAAATAAATAAATAAATAAATAAATACTAAATGTGTACAAATTGAGAACTAAACATGTAGTATCCAGTAATAAGGATTGAATGTATACAAAAACAACAAGTCCAAAGGCTTATTTTACAAGAAAAAAAAATAAGGATTAAACGTATAGAACTATATTACTCTTTTAGGTCATTTTCAAGTTAAATAAAGAGTAAGAAAATTCATCATGTGTATGTTTCTCATTTAAAGAGTATACAATGGATAGAAAATCTTGTTTGACAAACCTTAATGTATTTACTAAAAAACCAAAATTAGTTTATAGAATTTGGTAAACCTTCTATGTCGGTCATCTAGTGTCATAAAAACGTATAGTGTGATTATAATTAACTTGAAATAATCTCAACTAAATTGCATAGATATATAGCGAGCTTGTGAAATGGATATATTCCTTGTTATTTTCTCACCAAAACCAACTGACTCGACTTTTCCCGGAAAAAATGACCGTCTTAACTGCATTATCTCTGATATTTAAGAAAAAACATCATAAATGGTCCTTGTGGTTTCCCAAAATCTGAAGTTTAGTCCCCGTGGTTTAAAAACGTCATAGATGGTCCCTGTGCTTTCAAAACTTTTGACGATTGGTCCTTATTGCTAACTACGTTAAGTTTTGTCCGTTAACTGAAGGGCATTTTCGTCATTTCACTACCACAAGGACCATTTATGATTTTTCTAGAAATCAGTTTTGAAGAAATATTTCAGTTTTGGGTAGGATCTGTCATTAGAACAAACTGCAAGGACCGAATCTGTTAAGATTGCAAACCCGACTGTCTTCTTCCTAATAGATCGATTTAACGATTGTATGCATTCTTCACCATTTTAGAAGCCTACAATTTGATTCCTTTGAAATGTCAATTGATCCCTACCCTAAATAAACTATTTTCTGTCTGTTACGAGTTGCTTCCCACCCCTTTGAGCCTCAATACCGAGTGAATCGAAAAGAAGAAGTCACGATCCAGAGGCTAAGGGTGAAGTGTGTGTAATTGTTGAGAGTGTGTATGTGTGTGTTTTACTGTTTTTGTGTGTTTTATTGTGTGTGTGTGTGTCGCCAATGATAAAAGCAAATAGAATCAATGAAGCTCTTGTTGGCGTCTGAGGCTACCATGAGATCTGGTGAAGGTGAAGAAAGACCGATAAGGAAGAAGAAAAAGAAGTCAGAAGGAAGGAAATTGCCATCGTCAGTTGGTCACCAGTCGGAGCACCCATCGGAGTCTATAACAGAGATTCGAAAGAGAAAGGAGGGTGCTAGGTCTCGCCTCCGAAATACCCTTTCACAGTGCACTGGAAGTGCTCGGAGAAATGCCTGAGATAACTTGCAACTTAATTGAAGGTTTTTAATCCAAACAAATCAGGAGGGACAGGGTTATATTGCCGGAAATACCCTTTCCCAATTACTTCACATTGCACTGGAAGTGCTCGCCTGTAGAGTGTGCCCTGTTGTTGAAGAAGAAGAAGAAGAATAAAGAAGGACAAGGGATGTTGACTTCATCTGTCGGGTTAAATACTTGCAATCGACTTCAAATGAACCATGGATTCATTTGTTAAATCTTCAAAATATTGGGTTATTGTGGTTTGATTTGATGTATTTTGTGTGCAAGAGAACTTGGATTTGAGGATATACAATGGTGGGTTTCTTTTGAGAGAGAGAGAGAGAGAGAGAGAGAGAGAGAGAGAGAGAGAGAGAGAGAGAGAGAGAGAGAGAGAGAGAGAGAGAGAGAGAGAGAGAGAGAGAGAGAGAGAGAGAGAGAGAGATTTATATATTAAATAATTATATTTAATTTTTTCTTAGAAAACATTATAAATAGTCCCTGATAGTGAAATGACGAAAATGCCCTTCAGTTAACGAACAAAACTTAACGGAGTTAGCAATAAAGACTAATCGTCAAAAGTTTTGAAAGCACAGGGACCGTCTATGACGTTTTTAAACCATAGGGACTAAACTTCAGATTTTAGGAAACCACATGGACCATGATCGATATTTGATTTCTCAATTATGTATAGACTTTATGTTTTGTAGAATATCCATTTTCGAAAAGTACGATAGGATCCAATAAATACCCGACTCTTATTTGATATTCATTAACCCTAATACTAACACATTACAATCGATGTTTTCGTGGTTTACAATCATTTTTAACTAAACATTAAAGTATACAATATTCAAATTTTGTCAATTATCACTAGAATGACTTTTGAAAATGAAATTCGGAGGATGTAACACGAATACTAAACGATTTCTATAGAAATATAAAGCATTCTAAGGACACAAGGGGGTTTTCAAATGATTCGTCGTCGTTTCTGTCTGGTGGAGCCCAGTTACTCTCTTCTGTCTCTATACCCGAACCTAAATCGGGTTTCAGAACCCTCTCCGGTAAACCCGACCTGAATCGACCGGGAGAGTTTTCTGTCTTCCTCTTAGACGGGCTCCTTCCTATTCCATTTCTAGCCCCACCACCTCCTCCTCTGACCGTCGTACGATTTGCCGGAGATCTTGATCGGGACTCCTGTCCAGTTCCCGACACCGGCCTTTGTCGGCCATTAGAACCAAACCCGGAACCACGGTTGTTCATTTCACCTACGGATCTGATACGACCGGGAGTCTGTTGCTTGCCTCTCACCGGGGAATTTCTTACCGCTCGAAGCTCACCGGAATTCTGCTGCTGGTTTCTTCGCTTAGCCGGAGATCTGTCAGTCACTCTCCTGCGAATAACCTCATTTTCTTCTTCAAATGTGGTGGTTGAGACATTCTCGCTCATCGTACTGCAGATCTCAGAGAGATTAAGATCGTCAAGATTGTTATGCTGTTGATCCTGGATCTTGTGAAGGCTCCGTCGGGGTGCACTCTTTCTGGGTTCATCTTCGATTTTTAAGAAATGCTTGTGGTTGGGAGTTTCAGAAAGCACTTCTTTCACCGTCTCTTCGTCTACCGGTGGCGGAGCTCTGCTTGATTTTGATGAATGACGGTTGAATTCAGGAGATCGGGGAGTTTTATTTGTGCTGACAAAACAACCCATTATTTAGAAATTGATCAAGATCGGGACTTTGATCAATATGAGACTAGAAATGAGGGTGGTGGTTTCCGGTAGTATTGGATGGTGGTTTCCGGTTGTATTGGGTGGTTATACGGTGGTTTAATCAATGATGACACAACCCGTTAAGTGAAACTTGAAAAAGATCGAAACTCTGAGATGAAGAAGATTGAAGTGGACGCCATTTTGGGTGGTGGTCTGGGGTGGTTTCAGGGGAGAAAGCCGAGGAGGTGGTGGTGGTAGTTGAAAAGAGTCGTTGGAGGGGTGTTGACTGTTGAGAGAAAGTGAAGTGAGTGCGGTGTGAAAATGGGGATTTTGAGTCAATGGAGATGGTGCTGAATTTATTGGTCGTTCTCACTAATCTAAATAGGAGGCAAAATTGTTCAAAATAATTTATTGTGATTAATTGTTTGTGAAAAGCAAATAGAGTAGTGGAAAATGTAAGGAAAAAAAGGAGACCGTTTCTTGAAGAGTAATAATGGTGTACGGTGCAACGTGAAAATAGATATATTCTATCTTTCCCCAAATGTCAAAAGGTAAATTTTGGCAATTTTAACCGGGCCACACATCCATATTTCAAAAAAAAAAAAAAAAAAAAAAAAAAAACAAAAAAAAAACAACCCTACATGTCAGTTAAAATATGTATTTACTACAATAACAACATACATTGAGAATCTCCTTGGCATACGGTAGGAGATAGTTGAATGTTGACAATCGGGACTCGTGTCTTCATAAGAAGTAGAATGACCGGATCATATAGATATCTCTAACATAAGCAACCTAAAACCTGTAAAAGGGGCAAAGACATAAAGATCCATACAACGAATTAGATTTAAATGCATCTAAAAATATGCACAATCCGCATACGATCCAAACAAGAGGGAGTAAGTAAATGTAGTAGTAAAACTAAACAAGGATAACCAAAGGGCTTTTGGCCTACCGATAATGAGTGACTCTCTTATTTGAGAGGTCATGAGTTTAAGTATCGCTTGAAACATGGATCTTGATAGTTAGGATGTGATTAATTTTCCGTTAAAAAACGAAACGAAGATAAACCAAGAGACAAGCACATAAACAAGAATATGTAATCGACAATTGAAGACATACGTGGTAGCGAGACCTACCCATCAACCCTAATGTTTAACCTCCACACTTTAGTCATGTCATTGAAAATAACAAACTCCTCTATGTCTAGTCTCACGTTGTCCTCTCACTACCTTTTATGATGTCTTTTCCTCCTTTAACCATCAATCAATATTGACTCTACCCTCCTTATCGTCGTTGATGATAACCTCCTTAAAACACGTATTTAACAACAATTAACAAGGTGCTCATCTCATGCAAATGAAACCACAACTAGAGAATCCACGTTGCAATTGTCGGATTCATGAACACTCTAAATCAAAACATTACTCTTAAGAATTCTTCATCATATCTTTCTCGTTTTATTTTATTTTTCTTTTTCTATTAGGAATATTCAAAGACTATTTATACATTAAGAATAATTTTCTATTATATTTTGACCTACAAAAATAAAAGATTTAAAACAAATATGTGGAAATTTATGTAGGTCTGAGGTGTGATATTATCATTCATATTCATAATCTTTTTGTCGCAAAAACGTTTTTTTTTGTTAGAATTATAAATACCTATTAAATTTTTATACATATTGAGCCTAAAAATATAAAATTTGGGTTGTGGTCCTCATCTTCTCCGGTTTTTATACATATTATACTTTTGACCCCCAAATCAAAAGTTCAAGCTCCACCACTATTTATAGTCTAGTTTTTACTTACTAAAAATGAAAAAATCACATAAAATTTTGCAGATCTAACCAACAAAATTACTGTAAAATATTTTTTTTTGTTTTGTTCTTTTTGTTTTGTTTTTTTTTGTGTTAGGGATCTTCAAAGACCATTTACATAACAAAAGGAGCTTTATATTGTAGTCTTGACTTTCGAAAATGAAACAAAAAAATTCAAGACACATTCATAAATCATATCTGTGAAGTTACTATTTACATTCGAAAATCATAGGTTTTTTTCATATGAATCTTCGAAGACCATTTAAACAATAAAAATGAGCTTTTATTATGTGTAAAAATAAAGTTTTTAAGTGATATTTTACCAAAAATATGGTGTGAAGATGAATAAAAATGCTTTACATTCCACGCGATGCTCTCCCACGTGATGCATCTACGATCGTTGGCAGCTAAGCCCGATCTGTTCCACGCGGCACTCTCTCGTGTAACATCTCCATGATCGCCGACTACTAAGCCCAAGCTATTCTCCTAAGTCGCGCATCATCGCGCACCATAAGTCGCGCACCACAAATTTATTCTGCGCCTAACACCGCGCCCTTGGTGTTTCCTCTCTCACAGTCATCATGGTTCTCTTGTGCTCGGACGATCGATGAAGTGTTATCCACATTACAACCTGCTATAGTGAGGTTACTCTCCAGCAAGAAGGTCAACACGACAGCGACCCTGCTACCTACTACCTTTCAGCATCTCTGTTTCCTGGCTCTCGGAAACGGTCTTGCTATGCAACCTTACCTGTAGCCTCGCTGCGTATCCCACAGCATCTCTGTTTCCTGGCTCTCGGAAATGGTCTTGCAATGCAACCTTACCTGTAGCCTCGCTACGTATCCTTCAGCATCACTGTTGCCTGGCCCTCGGAAACGGTCTTGCTGCGCAACCCATACCTCTGGCCTCACCGCTTATCCCTTAGCACCTCTGCTGCCTGACTCTCGGCAACAGTCTCACTGCATATTTCCTACCTATAGCCTCACTACCTGTTCCTCAAGAATTCTGTTGTCTGGCTATCGACAATAGTCTCACTATGTGACCCTCGCTAGTGACCTAATCGCCCAGCTCTCGGAATCTCTGCCACTTATATTATGGTCAGCAACCTTACGGTTTTATTGGTTCGACAACATAGTCTGACGCGACTACCTACGCTACCCACATCAGACTGGGGGGAATCCAGCTAGGTGTAGCCCAAGCAAGAAATACCTCCAAGACGGTTATTAATGCAGACTATGTAGATGGTTATCGGTGACATTCCATTTGCGCGTAACTACAACAACATCTGTGCCGAATAACTGTCTCAGAGACTGCATAGCGAGGTTACGCTTCTTAGCTATCTCGGCCCGACATTTTATCGACATCAGTTTCGCGTAACACTCTTTAGTAGCCTCGGTCTGCATTAACACAGCAACAGTTACGTTGCATCGCACCGATCGGCTTGCGCTCCTCTCAAGAAAGGAGTATCAAGTCAGCTCAAGCTGCATAGGCAATGTTTGGCTCTTCGCACAACCCCACGAATCTCGTGGGCGAGGTTCGGTCGTTCTCTCTATTATTTAATGTATTGGTGCTTTATCTAGGCCGATCCGATTGTCAGCAACCCAATCGCATCAGACTAGGGGGACTTGACGACGCACAGTTTATATGACTAAGTCCAATCCGATGTCATTGGCCGTGTACCAATAACATCAGATTGGGGGAACTTGATGATATATGGTCCATTAGCATGGCCTAGACTGCTCTAGCGTGCCAGCCTGGCCTGGCGTGCTCCTGCCAGCCCTGCCTGGCGTGCCCTTGCCAGCCTTGCTGGGGACTCCCTTACCAGCCTTGCTGGGGACTCTCCTGCCGGCCCGGCCCGACGCTCGCTCGCCTGGCACTTCCCTGCCAGCCTTTCCTGGTGCGCGCCCGCCAGCCTTGCCTAGGGCGCGCCCGCATGGCGCCTCCGGGTGGCCTTGCCCAGCACCTTGCTAGTTGGGCCTGAATTGGGCTGGCCCACGGCCTAACCCAATACCCCTTGACCTAATTGTCCACTATAAATAGAATAGTGCCTCCTCCATGAAGGAGGACCCTTTTCCCTAAGACTCTTCCCCAGGTGGCTCTCAACCACCACTAGACCCCATGGCTCAGTCGCCATACCATACTCCGGCCGGGTGGCTCAGCCGCCACCCGCCGCCGCCGTCAGCCACCATACACCACCACCAGCACCAATATGGTTCTCTCCAGCTATGGAGAACCATCTCAGATCTACCAGATGATCTAACTTGACCGCCAGAGTCTGCTCCCGGGGCACAGTCCCTGGGGCGGCTCTAACGACTTTGCTCTGTGATGTCCAGATCTCCGCCCCAGCAGAAGACCAGAAGAGTCGTCGGAGGTCGATGTCGCATCAGGGGGGATTTCGCAACCCATTCAGACAATTTTACAGCCCATTAGCGATTACTGATATGACATCTTCAAAATTCATGGTTATTATGAGGGCTGCAATTTTAACACATAATACATCTAAACACAATTGTTTTGAAGATCATGGAAGAAATTTTTAACAGAACGAAGTCACCATTTGGTCGCCACTTGATGGCCACTCAAATGTTCGTGGCTTCATTTTTCTGATCAGACAAAATCCATGACTTGGTCGCCACTTTAAATGGCGATTCACAGATTTTCAGCAAATGATCACTTGACTGGCCACGTGAAGTAGCCATTTTTGGTTGTTTTTATTTAAAGTGTCAATTTTCACTCATTTTATGGTGAATTCTTCTCTTTTCTATCATAAGAGATTTTTTTCTAATTTTTTTTATTATTTTTTTTATAATTTTCATGCTTCTGATCATCATTTCTATACTAGGTAAGTGTTACAATCCCCCTTTGATTGTGTATGAAACATTCCAAAAATACTAGGAAAATTTTCATTTTTAAAGTAAACAAACCATCCCATAAAATTCATAAGGTCAAATAATCCAAAACATGAGTTTGGAATATTCATAAAAACATAAGAGTAATCCCAAAAGCATATACTTCTGAGACAATCGGTGGATTTAGTGCAATCAAACTGTCTTTAACATTACTACTATAAGTACCTGAAACAAATAACTTTAAACTGTAAGAATAAAGCTTAGTGAGCTTCCCAAGATACTGCATATCAATACGGGCCCCACCCAACATAAAGAACGAGCCCACCCAACGT